CCGCCCCCCCAGGCCTCCTCTGGCGAGCACGGGCCGAAGCACAGCGGGTACAGGCAGCCCCAGCTGGGGAGCAGGTCCCTCACAGCCGGGGCTCTGGTCCCTCTCTCGAAGGGCCCCGGAGGTCAGTCGTGCTTCCTTTTGGTCAGTAAGTTGTAAACTACAGAAGGCTTCGCCTCTGCAGGAAGGAACGTGGGAGAGCGCAGCCAGCTTGGCGCTGAGCGCTCTGGAGGAGGTGCTGCAGGCAAAGTCTTTTCCTGGCTACGCCGCTGCAGGGTGGGCGCCTTCTCCTCATCTCTTTCAGCTGGGCCTTCAGTCCGATTTCTTGGCAGGTTTTCTGCTCTTCCACATCACGACCGTTATAAAAACGCCTACCACCAGAGAGAGAACACGTTCAGCCAGAGAACTTCCAACTACAGGCACTTGTAAAACACACTGTAGTGAGAAACTGAACCTCAGCGGAGCGAGTGAGACACAATTCCGCTGTCCAGAGGCTCGAACAGCCGAAGTTACACACAAACACACGCCCCTAGAGCCCGTGCCAGGCTGAGCTGCGGCAGGAGCCACAGAGAGCGCGTCACAAGTCTCACCCGTTAGCTAACCCCCCCGGCAACCCTCTTCTCTCTTCCTAATTTAGAACCTTCTAATTAGAACAACAGAAACAACACTCACCTATAAATAGCAGCAGCAGCAGCCCAGCCACCACAGGGATGATAACCGCATACTCCCTAGGCAAGAAGTACCGGTGGATCCCATGGTCGCTGTCGATGAAGGGCTGCAGGAGACAGAGAGAGGTGTCAGCAGGTGGGCACAACACCCGGGCAAGTCCCCCCGACACCTGCAGCCTCCTGGTTTCGAAAGCAGGACGGAAATATCAGGCATGAGGAGATAGCTAAAGAAATAAAAAAAAAAAGGTGCCCAGACCTGCACGTGGCTCAGCCCACGGCTGCAGGGACGTGACAGCGGGCAGGCAGCGAAGGCTTCAGCGTTCAGCAGACAACGAGGGGCAGCTACGCGAGGCCGGCAAGGGGGGTCCCACAGCCCCGGGGTCTCAGGGTGGGCACGGCCGCCCGCCCGTTTGGTGCTGAACAGCGGCAAATCCCCAGACTCGCTGCCCTGCAGAAGGGAGCGGCTGATACCGGCTCTGCTTCACGGCGGTCCCGCCAGGATCCCTCTGCCGAGGCCAGCGGAAGGCTTTGGACACTAGAGAGCAGTGCAAGGATTCCTGCACAGCAGCGAGCACACCTACGCGCTCCCGGGACTACGGACCGTGTAAACACGCATCGGACAGCAGAGTAAGCAGACGCAAGAGGGGAATCCAAAACTCTCAGAGGGGAGACTGCCGGGAGTTCAGCCATCGGCCCAAGGCTGAACCAGGCCTCTCATACCTGGAAAGCTCATGAGGAGACGTTTCTTTCCAGGAGGAAAACCACTAATGACCCCAGCTGATATGTCCCTAGAAGTGGGCAAACTACCAGGCTCACAATCACTTTTCCAGAGCTCTGCATTCCCCAAACTCCTTTCCTCCCTACCAGGCTCCGGATTTGGCAAAAGCCATCTCTTTTTACGTTTCCCTCTGTGATCTCCCACCAGAACCTGGCATCTGGAGGACTGCGAATGTGAACGCCAGTGACAACACCTCCAGAGGGACCAGGCTTCAGCTCTCGCTGACAGCTTGAGCGAGCCCCCGGTGTTACACCGGCCGGGTCAGCCTGCCTGAGAGCAGCAGGGCGGGCAGCCTGATCAAAGCTTGGTCTTGCCCGGGCAAGGGCAGGCACACCCAGAAGGGGCGAGGGCTGTGCCAGCAAAGAAAGGAAGCTCTGCCCTGGAACTTTTAACCAGGAAGCTGGCAAGGCAGAGCCCTTTCAGGCACGTGGACACATCAGCACCTAAACAAAGCCTAGGCTAACACCCGAGTGCGAAGTGACTGGGATTGTAACGGCCAGAGGAGACCCGTACCAGTACGATGATCCAGAGGGTGTAGTAAACGAAGAGAAGGAGGCTGAAGGCAACCAAGCCGAATCCAACCACCTGGTCTGTCGCTGTGGCCTGCAAAGGGAGCGAGGGTCAGAGCGGGACCCGCACGCTGTGGCGTCTGCGCAGGAACGGTTAACGGGCACCCGCTGCGTGTTCAGCCCCAGGTTACGTGAAGGCACCGCCCGCAGGACTGAAGCGGGGAGGGGAGGGGAGGAGAGACCCTCTGCAGCAGCAAAAA